AGGAAGAGACATTTTAGATATAAACAAGTGAACCTGAAAACTATCCTAAAATTTATGCCCATTCGGCTAACTTCTATATAACAGGCCATAAGATTCCTCATTTTCCAGTTATTTCTCTTTCTTCATGCTGTAATAGAAAAAGAAAAACACCAGGAACTTTACAATTTGAAAGAAACATGTATTCAAGCTCAAATTAGTCATAGGCTAGAACCCTTTGCATCAGGTGAGGATTCTTTCATAGAAATGACATTGGAAAAAATTATTTTGTATTACTTAGCTCATTGGGATTCTCTTCTTGAGTAAAACAATATTAAAAACAAAAACAAGCCAGGAAGCCAAACAAAACACAAAAGGCAAAGATTTTAAAAATTCTCTACTTGAGACTTTGGAGCGTGTCAGTAATGCCTTTTTGTGCTGTAAACCATGCGAGCTAGTTTGTGGTTACACATCTGCTCTGGGAGATTTCTGTTTCCCAGCTTCCAACCATTCATCAAGCAAGTTTCATGCCTGTCTCCTTATGTGTGTGTTTTTAAATTTCCATGATTACTTCCCAGGGTTTGTTTGCGCTTTACATTCCCATTGTTTTTGGCTTTTCTATATATTTTTTGTGCTGGCTCAGCAATGCATTGATATATTTATCTTTAATACTATTTTAATAATTTTGGTTGTTATATTAGGACTGTTATATAGGATATGTAGTTTGTGATTGAATGGAAATCTTCGTTTATTTCTTTTAAATCTTACAACAGAATAGTCCAGGTCAAAATTTGAAGAAACCTTTTAAGTTCTTAAAACTTATGTGTTAAGAAATTTCTATAAAGCTTGTCAATTAATTTAAATATGTTAAAATGTTTATTTTATTTTTAAAAAGCACATATATTTATTTTATAGTTACTTGAAGGAAACTTTGCCAAAGAAGTCAGCCATGAAATGGATGGACTCATTTTTCAGCCTATTGGAGTAAGTTTATTTGTCTCTGTGTATAAACATGTATTCATATATGTTTTTATGCATGCTTGTGTAAAGTAGTTTTTCTTACATATAAATTTAAGTTTGCTTACTGCTGACCTCATTGCTATTAAGACAAAAGTTTCATTATAAGTACAAAGGGGGTTGTAAAAGCTCTTGGGAAAATTTAATTTTCCATAAACTTCATTTTTCCATGAACTTCATAAAGCCTTTTTATAGTTTAAAACTAAAACGAATACCTATATGCCTTTCATTCCTCAGGAAAAAAAGCATTGTTGATCATTATTTTTCAATTAAGTTAGTCTTTTAATATAACTAATTTTCATAATATTGTGAGCTGAATGTTGGGTGTATTTGCTAGAAATCTTATGACATGACAAATGCTTATTTCTTCTGTAGCCGTCTGTCTTTTAAGTGTTAATATTTCTAAAATGTAATTTCTTTGTGGGTGAATAAAACATAGAGTTATCAATATTTGAAGAACTCTGATGGTGCAGTGGTTAAGTGTTCAGCTGTTAACCAAAAGGTTTGAGGTTTGAGCTCACCAGTTTCTTTTTGTGAAACAGATGTGCTTGTCTGATCCCATAAAGATTTAGAGCCTTGGAAACGATATGTGGCCATATCAATACTTGAAGAAAATGGATTTCAATGAATTTATTCCTCGTTGAATTTCTAAAGTGCAGTGAAAAACTTACATCAATATGTAATGGTCAGCTCATGCATTTGAAGTTGTGTTTCCTCTGTAGCAGGGTTTATCAACCACAGCACCATTGATATTTTAGATCAGATAATTTTTTGTTGTTTAGGACTGTGCTGTGCATGGCAGGCTGGTTAGCAGCTCAGTAATGCCAGCCAACAGATAGCTGTTAGGTGCCATGGAGTTGGTTGATTCTATAGTGACACTTTGTACAACCGAATCAACAGTATTTGTTCCTGGGTCATCCTTACAATTGTAATGTTTGAGCCAAATGTTATAGCCTTTCTTGTTGAAAGTAAAGTGGGCTTGAAGGGATTTACTGATGTAAAAGTTACAGCCTTGGAAATCCTGTATAGGGTCACAGTGAGTTGGAATTGATTCCACAGCAGGAAATTTTGAGTTTTGTTTTATTTTGAGTGCAGGACAGATGGTATAATATATTGTGAATGAGAAGAATGGAATCTTTCTTTACATACTGAATCTTTTTTCATTTACTGAATCTTTTTCATTCCACAGGATTTATGGTGAAGTCATAAATAATACTCTTTTCTATCACTGCCTCTTAAGCCGTTTCAACTTAATTGTCATATATATTTAAAACTGAAACCATTATTCTCAAAGCAAAGAGTATCTCTTTTAAGGTGTTTGCTGTTTCTTACAGTAGATAAAGCTACCACCTCACATAGCAGATATTTGATTATATTTGTATTTCTAACATGACCTCTCTCTACTAGTTCTTTTATTATTCTTTAAATTTCCATGTTTACCTCAATAGATTTTAGAAAATGAAATGTTTGTTTCAAGGAACAAAAATAGATTATGTTTTGTTCTGTTCTTGTTTTTTTGGTCATAATTTTATCATCGTAGGCAAACCCTGAGGATATCTAGAGGCATCTTATTTTCCTTACTGATATAATCCATGTTGTTTCTTTTTTTCTTTTAAGAAATGTTTCCATGACTTGCTGTGTTTCCCACGTGTTTCTTTGAGAGTCTGCAATGAAAGTGCTCTTGTTCCTGAAAACAGCGAAAGGCACTTTTACCCTTTGCATATTCTCCTCAGAGACTTCCCAGTGTTAGCCACTCAGTGTCCAGTGCTCTGGTTTTCCTTCTGCAATATGTAGAGGCTCCTGTAACAGCTCTGACGGTCCCTGAGGTGATGACATGATTAGTATATGTGAATATAAATCGATACTTCAGCCTTTCTTCAGAGTATGGATTTAGCATACCAGAGTCTAGATTAATTTATATTAAAAATACTTATTTCATTAAAAATATATATTTCACAACTGCCTACTTGGGAGAAGGGCTGATTGATGCCACTGATTACATAGTGCTAGTTAATAGTCTGATTAATCTCTTTATTTTTCCATGAAATTTTAATGATTTCAATCTTTTTGTTTCTTAAATTGTGTCATTTGAAGTGGTGATTTATGGTATTTTTCTACATAGTTTCTTATTTTTTAAGAGGACACCTACATCTTAACTTCCTTAATTTCCCCCCCCCAGTAACATGCACCCTTCATTGTGTCTGCAACGTGCTCATTATTGAACTTCACTGTTAATTTGGCAAAATGGCATCTGGCTACATAAAGAATATGATACTTAGCCACATGTCTATTCTTTCCATTTAATTCAGTGGTTTTTTCCTACTGCCTTTGTGTTAAATTTTCTAAAAGGTATTTTCTAAGTACAAAAATATATTAAGCATGCCACCCAGAATAGGCTTTAAGTTAGCATGAATGCATTCAGGGTAAACAGGAGGCAATTTTCTCACTCAGATGCAAAATTTCATTAAATTCAGCTGTGCAGCCTTTTTATGTTTTCACTATTTGGGTTTTTAATTTCAACCCTAAATTCCTCCCTAAGAGCTGATTTTTCTATTCTTAATCTGTCCTTAGTTTAGATCACCATCACAATATATTCCATTTTCAGACTTCCCATTTGTCAGAGCCCCAGGTGAGATTCTTTCTACTTAACTTCTTCACAGAAATTTACAACTTCTCTGCCTCCCTTTAAAAAGGAAAATCTCAGTTCTTTTTAAAATGGAAAACTTGAACGACATTATCAAACAGTGTGTGGTGTTCAGCTATAGAAGACTAATTTTGTAACTTTCCCACTAGGATCCTCATTATGGCTTTAAAAAAATAAATACTTAAGTACTTAAGGTTTTCCCTCTTACCTAATTCTTAGAGGTTGAAACCATTGTACTCGTACATTGTCATCGTTTTCTTTTCTTTACTTGATGAAATAGCCATGATTCTTCTTTTTAGCTGCTCTTACGCTTTTGTAGATAGGAGGTTAGAAAAAAAGTTGATCTTCACAGACAGGCATAGTTTCCAGTGGTAGGAGAAGATATGATTTTAGGTGGGTACAGGACAGGGCTTTGAAAGATAATGCCTCATCCAGTAAGAAATGTAGTTCCATTCTAGTGTTTATTTAAGTCTCTCTGAATATAAAGAGAAGGTGTTTATTTCTAATTTTTAATATTTTGTTAAGACTTGATAACCTTTTCTCTTTCAACAAGACACGTTGACCTTCAGACTATTCCGTAGTTGTTAAGTGCTCTTGAGTCACCCAGGCTCTTGGTGACTTTATGCATAGCAGAATAAAACCTGGCCTGGTCTTGTATCATATCATAATTATTCATATGATGCAAGTTGGTACGTCATATGATACATGATATGAGTTGGGCTGCTAACCACAAGTCAGCAGTTTGAAACCACCATCTGCTCTGTGGGAGAATGATGAGGCTGCCTACTCCTGTAAAGAGTTAAAGTCTAGGAAACTCACAGGGGCAGTTGTACCATCACCTGTAAGGTCACTATGTGTCAAAACAGACTCGATAACAGTGAATTTGATTTGGAGGTACTAACGGTGGGAGAGAACCATTTTCTATTTATGGAATGGTATAAACTTCCTATTTTTAAAGAAGTAAATTAATTTAAAAAATAGTAAGTAAAAATTATTACTGTTGCTATTCAGACAGGCAGTAATTTTAAGAGTGGTATAGGAAGAACTAAAACTTATAAATGATATGGTACTTAACTTGCTTCCTATAGCCAATATAGCAAATTGCCATTGACTTGGTGATTTAAAATACCACATATTGATTTTGTTTCAGTTCTGAAAGTTGTAAGTCAGTTTCACTAATAACAAGATATTGGTAGGATCACATGCCCTCTTGAGGCCGTAGGAGAAACGAACATTAACACTTTCTGTGCCAAGATAGCTCTGCCTCCCCCTTAATAAAGTTACAGCTAGGGCTGAGCTGGTTAACTCCCAAGATAAGTTCTCCGTCTCATCATCTTTCACTTAATCACAATTGAAAAATCTCTTTTGCTATAAAAGAAACTTTCATAGGTTCTAGGGATTAGTACCTAAACATCTTTGGGAACCCCAGACCACCAGTTATAGTTGGATAGGATATTTTTGAGCAGTACCCAGTGTAATTTCTGATTCTGTCTTTGTAAGATAGGTAAATTACCTTCCTTAGTTTCGTTTCTTTTATAAAGCAAATTCTGAATGTGGAGTTAGTACTCTTGATCAGGCCCCAAACCGACTATGTTCGAACTTGCCATTTCTGAGTTTTTCTTCTTGGAAAGTCTTAAGACCTTTTAATGAGCTCAGCTTTAGAAACTAAGTGCAGGGTAAGTGATAGAAGATGAAGCTCTATGGCGAGTGGGTTACTAACCTCAAGATCAACAGTGTGGACTCCCCAGCTACTCCACAAGAGAATGGAGAGGCTTTCTGCTCCTGTAGAGATTTACAGCTTTGGAAACCCACAGGGGCAACCCTACCTTGTCCTTTACGGTTTCTTTAAGTTCGATTTGACTCAGTGGCAATGAGTTTCTTTGGTTTGGTTTAAGGGATAGACTTTTATGATAAAAAAGACAGTATATTAAAAGTAACCAGTATTTTTTTATAATACTAAAATGTATATACATGATTTTACCCTTTATTTTTACATTGGAGGATATTAACTCTTTGTGCTGAGATTCTTTGGTCAGTCATTATGCTGAACCTCCGGGATCTCCCTTGTGGGGTGAAGGGGAGAGGGGTTTCCCCACAAATCATCACAGGTCCGGTAGGCGCAATTGTACAGTGATAATAAGTAAGGATTATGGTAAACTCATAGAGAGCATGAGAGTTAGAGGAGAGATTGGAATAAATGGAGTCAGACACAATTCATGGTAGCATTGTTCACCTCAGCCCCGCTTGATGGTCCTCGTGGGGGGAACCCGGCCACGATACCAGAAGCAGCCTCGGGGACTGAGAACTGGGGAGCCTCTTTTCT